ACCCGGGTGCACTCACATACATGCAGGCAATACACTCATACACATAAAATAAAAATAATAAAATATTTTTTAAAAAAGAAATAAATTGGTTTTAAAAATGGACAAAAGATTTGAGTCTAAGAATATGTATACATTAAAAAAATAAGCACATTGAAAAGTTGATCAACATCATTAATCATTAAGACAGTGCAAATTACAACCACAATGGGGTGGGGCTGGGGAGACAGCTCTCTCAGTAAAGTGCTTGCTGTGTCAGTATGGGGATGAGAATCCCATCAGTAAAAAGCCAATGTGGTGGTGAATGCTTGCGATTCCAGAGCTGGGGAGGCAGAGACAGATCTCTGGAGCTTGCTGGCCAGTCAGCCTAGCCTAATCAGTGATCCCCAGACCAAGAAGAGATCCTGTCTCAAAAAAATAAGGTGGATGGTTCCAGAGAAGTTCCAGCACCTAAGGCTATCTCCTAGCTTCCACAATCATGTGCACACATACACACACCTGCACACATGAACACACACAGAATGCTCTGGAGGTTAAAAAAAAAGGTCAGAAGTAAGAACTTCTGAAAATTCTTTCTGCCATGAAAATAACCAGAAGACTAACAAAAATGTTCAGAATCAGCTTTTTCACAACTAGCCTCTAAAGATTGGTTAAAAATACAGGTAGTTACACACACACACACACACACACACACACACTAGCAGAATCATGGCAAGAAGAGCAAGTGTAATGAAAACCAGCAGCCTGACAGCCACTGAAGGGAGAATAAAGGTAGAAGTCCTTCCAAGCATCATTAGTAGAGAAATGCCATTATCTGACCTGTCCTGCAAACACTGGCCTCAAAACGCTAGCAATAAGGCTGCTGTCTTTATTAGATCTGCCTCAGAGCTTCCTTAGTTTAAAAATGCCTTTTCTTGGGACTATGTTTTCCTAAAACAATTAGAGGTCATTGATTAACTTTACAACTGCCTGAGGCAATGGATAACAATTGGAGCAAAAATAAAATAGACTAACAAAAAAACTTAAAATGAAAAGCAAAGAATTAAGATGGCTGGAAGGGACTATGAAATATTCTTGGAAATCTACAAGGCCACTTTGATGTTCACCAATTTCTACATGTCCAGGGGCGTATATATGCTCAGGAAACATTCTACAAGGCTGTAAGCTCTCACCTCCAGATGATGTTCTTGCACTGTATAAGCAAGAAGTTAAGGCTAAGGCAGAATTACACTGCCTGACGGAGTGTTGAAGGTGTGTGCCACCATATACACAGAGTCCCCAGCAAAGATTGAGAGTCTTGCTGGTTCTAGGCATTTAAGGAAATCTTTAGTCATTAATTGACTACTGAGATAACCTATCAGAGACTTCAGCTCCCACACATGACAGGTGCGGGCTGTACAGTTTTCTATTTTAAGTGCCTTAACAGTAACAAATGGACAATAACAAATAGGGGAAAAAGTCAACAAACTGAGGCAGGAAAGCAGTCTGTGTTTTAGTTACCTCCTTATAATATTTAAGATGCACCAAAACCTTATCAAACATGTAAAGACTCAAGAAATTATGGCCCATTCACAGAAAACAGTGGCCCTGGGAAAGCCCAGGTGTTAGATTTACTAGACAAAGACTTCTGGGTTTGCTGTTTAAAATACTTTGAAAGAATTAGAGAAAGCAATGCTTAAGAACTAAAGAAAAGAGCTGGGGAGATGGCTCAGCAGTTCAGAGCATTGGCCTCTCTTGTAGAAGACCCAGGTTAAAATCCCAGCACCCATATGGTAGCTAACAATCATCTGTAACTCCAGTTCCAGGGGATCTTATTTATATGTAGGTGTAAAACTCTTACACATGGCACTTATGAACTTGTGGCAATGGTGGTTTAATGTGAGAGAGGATAGTAATAAAATAATGAAACAAGGTGTAAGATATATATGAAAAACAACTAGCCAAGTGGCAGGTAGAAATCCTTATCAATAATTAATTGTAAGTGGATTCAAACACTCTAGTTAAAAGGCATGGCTAGGAAGAGTAGACAGAAAACCATGATCTGACTACGTGGTATGCACATGAAATACACTTCAGGTTCAGTGATGTTAATAGGTTGAGATTAAAAAGAATGGAGACTGTAGGTTTTAAATGGAGATTATAGATTTTTAGAAGGGTTACTAGATTATTATAGATTTTAAAAGGGTTACTAGTAACAATGCACCTTTACACCTAAGGCTTATGGAAAATAGTGGAACAAAAGAGTAGAGAGAACACTAATGCATCTCTCAACTTTCATCAACAAATCTCCCTCATGCAACACAGGGCCATGAACACAAAAGGACACAAATGACCAAAGCATAGAGAATAAGAGTCTGTAGAGTGTGGGTCCTTGGAGAGGACTCCTGTATTAAACTCTACCCACCCAGGGCTCAGAGACCATTGCAGATGGGGGCGGGGGCAGAAAGATTGTTAAGAGCCAGGGAAAAGGTGCATGACCATATGGAAATAGAGTCCTATAAACTCCTGGGACTTTGCTCATAAGAACTTACTTACAGAAATGGTGTCAGCATATACAAGACCCATGCAAATTCAAGCAGACAAAAACCCAGCACAGAACTGTGGAAATGGGCAGCAGGCCCCAATCTTAGCCAAAGGACTATTGGCAACTGATTATTGCTGGGTGAGGAAGAGCTGTTCTTTTTAAAGGGAGGGATTCTAGACAAGCTGACTAGATCTCAGTGAATGAATGTGCACTGAGGGACGACTGGGGACACTAACTTGAATCAATAGGCCTTAACACAAATGACAGAATGCATGAAATCCAGTTGGGTGGCTATGGGAGGGGGCCAGTCGGTGCTTAGAGGAAATTTGTAGCTTCAAACTGTACATTTAAAAAGAAGAAAGATCTCAAATTAATAAATTTCCACTTTAAGAAACTAGAAATTTTGGCTGGAGAGATGGCTCAGTAGTTAAGAACACTGACTGTTCTTGCAGAAGACCCAGGTTTGAACCCCAGCACCCACATGGCAGCTAACAACTGTCTATCACTCCAGTTCCAGAGGATCCAACAGCCTCGAAGGTCCTCCGCAGGCACTGCATGACATGGGTGCACTTAACTACATGCAGGCAATACATGAATACACATAAAATAAAAATAATAAATATTTTAAAAAAGAAACTAGAAATTTAAAATCAAATTAAACTTAAAGCAAGCAGAAGTTAGCAAGTAATAATGATTCTAGTAGAAAAAGAACAAAATTTACTTAAGACCCAGTAGGATTGCTGTGGCAAACAAAAGCAGATGCCGGAGGCCAGAGGGCAAGTGTCAGGGAGATCTGGGGTAACCACAGATCTGATGTGTTAGGACAGGAATGTTATAGCTACTTTGGAAAGTAAATTTCAGTTTCTTATAAAGCTAAATGTGCACTTAATTTAATTCTTGTAATCTTAGAAATGAAATTCTACATACGATAACTATAACTTATCCTAATCTTGTGTATAAATGTAGTTTGGATTAACATTTAAGTGAATTTTAAAGTTTATTGTATGTTTTAAAATTATTGCTTGTATATAGGTCTGCTTATATTTTGTTTTGTTTTTTTGATACAGGGCCTTACTCTGTAGCCTAGACTAGACTGGAACGCACTGTGTAGCCCAGGCTGGCCTCAAACTCACTGCAATCTTTCTGCCTCAGCCTCCCAAGTGCTAGGTTATAGGCGGTAGGCACAATGCTGACTCTCAGTTTGGAACTTTTGATAGGCAGATGTTGTCTGTAGGTGGCTCCATTGACAATGTATATTAGTCAGGTTTCCATCACTGCAACAAAATACCCTAGGACAACTAATTATTAAAGAAAAAGTGTTTCTTTTGACTCATTGTTCTTTAGGTTCCAGACCAAAGTTGGATTGCCTCAGTGCTTTGGGCTCTAGTGAGATGTCATGTCATGGCAAGAGCACATGGTGAAACAGACTGCTCATTTCCTGGGCAAGGAAGTAAAAGAAGAGGGGCGATTCTAGGGCCCTAATATCCCCTTGGAAGATACTCTTCCAGTGGCCTAAGGATGTCTCACTAGGCCCAACTCTTAAAAGTTTACCTCAAACCTTAACAGTACCACCCTGAGACTGAGTGTCTAAGCATGAATTTGGAGCATATTCAACACCCAGACTAGAAGAGCACAAGAAAATGATTGCTTTATTGGACACCTACAGTTACTGCATGGGTTCCCTGGTGTCATGGTGGACTTATGCTTACATTTTGAAACTTCTTTTTTTATTTTATAGGTTTGTTGCCACACCTCTAGCAAATGCTGTTGGCATTCAAAAGACAGTGCAAAAAATTAAACCTAATACCATCTTAGAGAACTTTTTCAAGCATTCTGCAAGTAAGCCATCTCATGTAAGTAAAACTCCTTTGCTTGTAGACTTAAAGAGCTCCTTTCTTAATGTTCTAGTCATCTTACTTTGTCCATGCAAGAAATCTTGTAGTTGAACAGCAAAGGATTTGGTTCACTAGATTCATTTCTTTGCTCGGTTGACAAATTCTACAGCATTCCAAACATAATATAAAATTGAAAATCTATGTTCTAAAGTAATGCAACATTGAAGTATGCAGTATTGCTTTCAATTATAGTATCACAGTAACAATCAATACCGTGATTCAGGTATAAAGATCACAATTGAAGTTGGGCATGGTGTTTTGTGTCTGTAATCCCAGCACTGGAGATGCTGAGGCAAGAGGATCGCCACTGAGTCTGGGGCCAGCCTGAGCTTCATAGTGAGTTCTAAGCCAGTCTGCACTACATAGCATGATCCTATCTCAAAAACCTAAATAAATAAATCATACTATCACAATTTAATTTGGGGGAGAAGGTTTTTGAGACAGGATTTCCATGAAGCCCAGCTGACTTAGAACTTACTATGTAGGCCGGGCTAGCCTCAATCTTACAGATATCCACCTGCCTCTGCCTCTCAAGTACTTCTGATTAAAGGCATGCACCACCATGCCCCGCTACAATTTAATTTTAATGGTGGGTTTTAATCATTAGGGAAACCCACTCCTGTTACTTCTGATGATTATGGCATTTTCAAAATGCACTATGAAAGTGTTCATGAGATCATATTGCATATGTATTCACACTTTAATCAAGGCCTCAACATCATCAGAAATGTGTAGTAGCCCCAGTTTCTCTCCAGAAATGGACTTTCCAAGAGAATCTCAGTTCTTTCCACAATATAAAGCACCCTTAATCCCTCCAGTGCATGCTTATGTATCGTTTGTGTATCATTATTTTAATTTAATATTCATAAAAATAGTGTCCAGGAGGTCAGATATTCACTTCTGTTTCATTATATTTGCATAGTTAAAATGGTGAACAAAGCAGACCCCCACCCAGTGGTGCACCTCTCAGACAAATAGAGAAAGCTATTCCCCTTTATTTAAAAAGCAAGACTGTGTGTTTATACCTCTAGGATAGATTTTTTTTGAGGGATTTCAACTCTATTTGCTGAATTTGGCTGTATTTGTTGACTGCTGCTCTAAATAGCCATAATCACTCATCTAAATACTTTTGTTTCCACTGATGATAATGCCTAAACATTTTACACCCTTCAAAGGAGAAATTAGTTATGTTTATGAAGAATCAGGACTCTGTTTCTGTTTGGGAATAACTAACTTTCCTAATACCTTGTATGAAATGTGAACAGTATTGCTTCTATCAATTACTTGCTGTACTTTGTGTGGCCAAGAGCTTCAAGTCAGATTTAAATGATATTCCAATCATTTTTATCGATTGTGTGTGTGTGTGTGTGTGTGTGTGTGTGTATGTATGTATGTGTGTGCAGGCCCACACATGCCATGATGTGCATATGGAAGTCACAGGAAAACTTTTAGGCATAGCTTCTCTCCTCCCATTGTGGGCTCTAGAGCATGATGTCAGGTCATCAGGCTTGTGTGACAAGCACTTTTACCTGCTGAAGTCATCTCAGCAGTCCTAAATGGTGTTTAAAACAATATAGAAAGCTTGGTTCCTGCTATGGTCACATTTAAAGGAGGACTAAAAGAAACTGGAAGAGAATTAGACCAGTGAGCTTCATGATTGATCTAGGGAATCAGAAGCTCAGGAAAGGGACGTGAGCTGCCATATGACAAGTGAGCAGCCTCCTGGAAGCCCAAGCCCTGCCAGCACCTCACCGGCACCCCTGAGTGCTCCTTCTCTTCTACCAGGGACTTCATCTGGCCATACCATGGGGAATATTTGCTTCAAAACCTGTGCCTAAAAACAAACTGAAAGCTGGAGGCTCTCTGTACATCTTCAAACCCTACAAATGGCATGGTGTAACTTAACATAGACATAATTTGGATATGCATATCAAGTAAGAGGAAAAATGTTATACATCACCCTTAAAGCATTAGAAAACTGCTTAATTAAACCAAAAAGGCAAAGGGAAATAAGATTCCTGCTTATATTGCTCTCAGATCACATCACTGAAGGAGTATTTGTGTGGAAGATCAAGATGACAAAATACCTATTTCTTAAAGGAGACAGAACTTAGGAAGACAGATGTAATGCAAAAAGACAGTCCATGACTCAGTGGGAATGCTAGATATGGGAGCAAACTAATCTCGTAAGACCTTCACAGAGCTTGGTCAATGTCATATTGACTGCATTTTTGTTCATTTATAGCTGAAGTGATAAATTAGCAAGTTGCTGGGTGCACTGAAAACATTTTGTACAGAATCAAGACAGGAGTGTGATTGCTACATAGTATAATACTAGAGTGACAGATCAGTGACACATGGGTAGTATCTGGCTCTAGTCAAGCAATTGAGTACACGAACCTGAGGCTGCTTCTTTAGCTGTAGATTGTACCAATAGAAAAAGCAACATGTAGCAGGGTGTCTAATCTGTGACACTGCGTTGTCATTTGCAAATGCGTAGCTCCAAATTCATACTTCTGTGGTATGCGTGCAACCTACAAGTCACAGGTTGGGATGATCTTGGCGTATACAATGTGGGTTTGGCACAAGTTAGCACAGAAAGGCATCACCCAGTATTGATAAGGCCCAGAATACCACACATGTGAGCCTGCAGTAGGGTTTCAGTGTATGGTTTTCCATCCTTCTCTTGTGACTGTGTTTGTACAGCTCTGTTATATGTGTGTATATCAGTAACGACCTCTAGATGTTTTAGGGGAAAGTCATGACACTGACAAACAGCTCTACCAACACACTGGTTATTCTCCATTGATCAAATATAGTTACTGGGACATAATTAGCCATTCCCTCAGCAAAAAACAAAAAACAAAAACCGTGATAGCATGGTAGAACTAATATCAGCAGTAAGTTTCAGAAGAGAGATAAAGAAAATCTGTTTCCTGAAGAGTGAATTAAGCCGGGTTGGTGGTGCACACCTATAATGCCAGGACTCAGGAGGCAGTACCGGGAGGATCGGAAGTTCAAGGCCAGCCTAAGCTACATAATGAGACTTTATTTCAACAAACAAATGAAAAAACAGACTTGGCTAAACCTAGTTCTTAAAGTCAGTAGAAACAGTCATGTTGGCCAGATTGAGTCAGTGATGGATTTAAACATTTTAAGAGCAAAGTAGTTTCATTCAGCGCAGATTTTTTGCAGGGCAATCTTTTTGAGATACAATTTCTCTGTAGCCCCAGCTGACCTGCCACTAGCTATGTAAACCAGGCTAGCCTTGATCTCACAGAGATTGGCCCAATGCAGTTTGTTTTTGACAGTGAGACATGGACAGCTAAAGAGGCTGGCAATTCTTCCTGGCCCTTCTCATGGTTCTTTTCTTGACCCCACTCATGGTTCTTCTTTCAGGCCATCTTCCCTATCCTGGAGGTCCCACCCTCTCTAGCCCACTCTGAATGCTTGTAGCACCAGGTAGTGCCAAGGCCAGCATCACAATTGTGTGGCAGACTGCGTGGGCCCAGAGTGCAGCTGTCTGTGCAGACGGATGGCCAGATTCATTTTTCTATGTCTTGAATTCCTCCTTTGTAATCGAGTTCAGTAATAACACTTATCTGTTAGGGTTCCATGAGGATTGAACAAGATATATAAATGCTTAGGATCATCCTTGGCACATAGTGGTGAAGATCAACACTTAGCATTTTGATCTATACTGTTGATTTTGTGTCCTTCGTACATTGCGTTCTACAGGAGTGTTTTGAAGTATGTCTTTTCAATTCAAATTATGCAAGGAAATAACATGTTTCTTTTTTAAAAATATTTTATTTATTATTTTTATGTGTATGTGTGCGTTGCCTACATGTAGGTAAGTGCACCCGTGTCATGCAATGCCCACAGAGGACAGAAGAGGCTGTTGGATCCCCTGGAACTGGAGTTACAGACAGCTGTTAGCTGCCATGTGGGTGCTGGGATTCGAACCCAGGTCTTCTGCAAGAACAGCCAGTGTTCTTAACCACTGAGCCATCTCTCCAGCCCCAACACTTGTTTCTTAATTGTGCTTGTTTTCCATTCTCATAACAGTTTACACTATTTTCTGTACATTTTAGATGTTCAGTGAATGCATATTTCATATATTAAAGAAAATGCCTCGAGGCTTTTGTGTGCAAGATTTCTCTTTCAAATACATAGTGACATATGCAGCCAGGATTGTCAAGACTGTCTTTCAGCCAGACTCGTCTGTACTGTAAAACAAGAGAGAAAACAATTTCCAGTCATATATGGTTGCCGTCTTTTGGATATATGCACTAAGCAGGCTTTTCAGCAACGGTGGAATAATAGCAAAATTGGATTAATCTGGGCCAGGATAATTCCAGAACAAAGGCAAGGACTCATTTGCCTTACTCACTGCTGCATGTCTGAAAATGGAGCCTAGCACTACTAGGGAGGAGAAGCTCATTGGGTATTTTTGAGTGAAGAGATAAAGAGCACTTTCACTATAAGAACATGCAGAATATAGTGCAGTGCTCTCAGAACAGGCCTTGAGACAGAAGATGGCCCGAACAACAGAACTTGAACTACATTCTGTTTGGGGAAATCAGTAAGGCTTTCAAATTATTTTAGAAGTAAAGAAGTAAGTTTTTAAAAAATATTCATTATTAAACACTTTTTAGCCCACAGTATCCTTTCTGTGTTTGGACATAAAAGGTTTCCACACCAACACAGCACCAGATTATTTATCTAGAACATTCTAATCCCTTGGTCCGAAGCCACTCCTGTGAGCCAGGTAGCAGATACTTTTATTGTGATGCCACTTTCTGCGGGGCAGGGTGCAGTGCCCAAAGCTACATGGTTCGCAGGCAGCAGGACTAGGCCCCAGGTTTCAGCTTCTCACCCTTCTCACCACCTTCTGTTGCCTGATGCCTGCCACATTCTTTTCTTCCTTTCAATAGTGTGTACATGGTGCATTCTCGGTTGGAATATCCAGACTACTGTCTTACCTGGCCTGGTGTGTGAGGCCCTTGCTGTGGGAAGCAGAGGCCCAACATAGAAGGGCAACATGAACACACGAACTTGATCTCTACCAGCAGGCAGTCTCCCTCAGCTGCTCTGTTATGATTCCTTGCTGTGTTTTAGGGCATCCATATAAGGCTGACTCACTTTGATCTTAAAATTTAGTACAATGCCTAGAAGAAGTAGACACTAGTGAGTAGTTGCCAGTTCAGTCTCCACAAAGAACCAAAACAAAACAACCAACAGTAATAGCTAAGTCCCCGGCCTATGAAAGAGGTATTAGAGGCGGTGCCTTATGGGGAAACAGTAACACTGGCCATGTCTTGTTATTTGTCTTTTTTCTCTTCAAGTTAGTAAAGGGTTTATAACAGTAGAGATGACAGAGCTACAGTCAGTCTTCTGAGAGTGCTCAGGGTGGCTTCTGATGGCTGGCTGCTGTAGTTCTGTGCACCTGGACGATTCCATGATCCCTGCAGGCTAATATAGCAGAAGTTATCTATCTGGTGCGACCAGTTGTCTGCCCACAGGCAGGCTTTGTTTGGCACCCAGGGTGCTTATCTGCAATTGACTAAATTTACTCTCAGGTACTAATCAATAATTTTCAAAGTGGTTTCACATAAACGTCCTAGGACTGCCAGGTGTGGTGGCACATACCTTTAATTCCAGCACTGAGGAGGCAGAGGCAAGCAGATCTCTGTGAGATCAAGGCCAGCCTGGTCTCCATAGTGAGTTCTAGACCAGCTGGGACTACAGGGAGACTCTATCTCAAAAAGCAAAGAAAATGTTAGGACTGTATTTTCTCTCTGGAAATGTCAGAGTGGGTCGCAGCAAGTCTTTTGGACTAAGAGCTGTGCTTTACTCTTTGTTGTCTGTGAGCAGCTGCTTGTTTCCTTAGCCTGAAGCACAGGGTCAGTTTTATGCACCTTTTTTCAAAACAGAATTAAGAGGAAATTTTCTTAGATTAAAAACGAAAAATCAAGAGATCAATGCAATTTCAAAATAAATTACAGTGTATTCTTTATGGAAGTAAAGAGTGTTACCGTAGGTTTAATGTACAAAACATGCATGTTAAAATCCCATCGTGAAGCGGACCTAGTCTGCTTGGTCATTTGTGTTTCTTGTCTGGCTCTAAAAGACCCTGGGGCCTGTAACCTTTGAACTGTGATCCATCATCTGTATTGTTTCCCATTTTAACTCGTAGCTATAAAATTTCTACTTCCCAGGGGGAAACCAATCATTGTTATGCTTTATAATTATTATTTTAATGCTTGGAATTAGTTTGGGTTAGTTTGAAATGGGCTGTACATCAAATTGAATATGAAAGCCAATAGAGAACACCTTTTGGAGTTCTTCTTGGATTACCATCTGTAGCTGTTAGAAAGACTGTGTGAAGTAACTGAAAGCACGCCAGCCTACGTCCTGACAGCACTTGGCTACTACTATCTTCAGCACTTGCATAAGTCACGGCATCTCCCAGACATGCTTCAGTTTCCCTGAAGGAGACTGGATTTGATTGATGTTTTAAACTCTGTTCTTCCACGGGGCACCTAGGAGGCCTGAAATAAATCTTAGCAGAATGAGTGAGCTCACATAAACAACTTGAACATGATGGGTCGCTACCATCATAAGGACAGTTGGTCTTTCTCCATAATCAGTGAGCTGGGATACTAAATTCTCTGCTTTTTGTTTGGTGTTAGTTTTGTGTGGTGGTGTATGTGTGAGTGTGATTTTATAAGCAACAGAAATAAATTCCCCGGCTCAAGATCTTGTGGTTGAGTCTTTCTCATTCCCAATTCCCAGTACACAAGCTCTGGTAACCTGGTCTCTCTGTCTCCTGACTGCCTGCCATGTGACTCTGCTATTTATCTTTTTTTTTTTTTCTGTCTTTTTGAGACAGGGTCTCCCTATAGCCCCAGCTGTCCTGGAACTCACTATGTAGACCAGGCTGGCCTTGAACTCACAGAGATCCGCCTGCCTCTGCCTCCCGAGTGCTGGGATTAAAGGCGTGCGCCACCACGCCCGGCTATTTACCTTTTTTAAAATATACATTTATGTAATGTATGTGTGTGTGTGTGTGTGTGTGTGTGTGTGTGTGTGTGTTTGTATGATTGTGTGCATGTGCCCGGGTGTGCATGTGGAGATCAAAAGACAACTTGTAGGAGACAGTTCTCTCCTTCCACCATGTGGGTCCTGGTGATTGAACTCGGGTTGTCACACTTGGCAACAAGCTCCTTTACCTGTTGAGTCATCTTGTCAGCCCTCTGCTTTTTATCTTTGGTTCATTTATTTATCTTTTTTTTAGACTGATATTTATGGACTGGCGAAGAAGTGTAACTTGACAGAGCGCCAGGTTGAAAGATGGTTTAGGAGTCGGCGGAATCAAGAGAAATCTTGCAGGATGAAGAAATTCCAGGAATCTTGGTAAGAAGGCTGGCAACCCGGGTGCAGTTCTAACTGGAACCACCTTGGTTGTGGCAGAAAGCATGCTGACAGGGGAAGGAGGAGTCCACTGCAGTTCTCCACTTTTGATAGGGTGTTCCAGGCTTGTTGCTTCTTACCCTTCCATTCTTCTCTTCCCTCCTCCGGGAGATGGGCTAGGTAAACTCTCTAAGGTGAACCCAGCCTCTAAGAAGACATTCTGTACTTAGCCTGAAGTCCAGACAAATCACAAGCATGCCTTAGCTGGTGTTTCTCTTTTCTAGGGTTGAAGTTAGAAGTCGCAAGACTTGCTCCCATGTCTGTTGTCATTATGGTTAAAGGAGCAGAGACTGTGAGACCTCATCCTAGTTCGTGATCTTTAGAACACTAATGGGAGGACCTCTGTGTGACTTGGCTAATGAGCCCTGACCCTGCTACTGTGGGTCACACAGCCTGTTTTTCTAGGTTTCCAGTGGCTGAGCAGGAGGGTCTCAGCTGGCCTCCTGGACTCTGGTCTACACGCTGAGGCTGCACGGATTTGGTTTTGAGTCCCTCCTGTTCTCTCTCCTTTGGAATCTTGTATTCTGGGTCCCAGCCTTGGTGGCAAAAACCCATGTGGAGAAACCCATGTAAAAGAAAGATAGATCAGGTCATTGTCCTTTACTTTGTTTCCCTTTCTTTATCTCCAAAGTTGGGCATGAGTTGGGTTTGGCCTGAGTCCACATCCATGTCTTAATGTGTTCTTTCATTTTGCCTGTTTCTTCAGAGGCTTCCACCAGCTATCTTTGGTGGGCGAAATGACAGAACTAAACAGCCAGTGCCTGGTACTAAACGTCAGCGACTTCCCTTCATTTCCTGTATATTCCTGAGGATCCTAACCCAATGGCGATGCTGACTGATACCTAGGACAGACCACTTCTACAGCATGTCTTAGAATAAACACTAGTGTCAACTCACAGGCTCTACAGCCTTTCCTGCAGTGGCTTGATGTGTCTAGCATTGTTTATTTTCTAACCAATTTCTCTGATTTTCAGCTCTTGAAGGATTGGTTACTGCTGTGCTGCTCTGATGTCTGCTTAGCACAGGGTGCCTCTCTTGAACTGTACCCAGAACCATACAAAGCAGAACTGCTCTCACATTACACCCATTTTTACCAGCCGACGCCTATTCATTCTTGCTAACAAACGTCTTGTACCTTAAAGACTCTAGGCAGAGACTGATTCTGATTCTCAATTCCCAGTGAAATTCTCTGTCTTACAGTTCATAAATGTGTGCTCAGTCCTCCAACCAACAGGATGAGACAGGTCAGGAAATTGGGACTGACTGATGAGGAATGAGAAACTGCACATCCAGCTAGTTCAAGGAATTGATTGGCCCAGCTGTCTGAGTAGCTGTTGCTGGCTCCTATTCTGATATTATTTTGGCTGCATCATACTGCCCTGGCTGCCTACTGCCTAGCTCTCAGCAAGCAGAGATCTCCGCCATCCAGTAACATTTGGGAAGCAGGCTCTGTCAGTGAATCCACTGAAAGCTGAACACAGAGTTTAGGGTGGCGAAGGGAACTTCACATTACCCATGTCAATCGGTCAGGCCATGTAGAAGCTTATGTTGTCTTCTTTGTAGCCTAGACTTATGGAGCTCTAAATTTTAAGAGGGAAGTAAACATCCAAGGCCCGCCACCATCCCTAAACAGCTCATGGGAAAGACCTCACTAACCCACAGGAATTCCTCCATGATGACACAGAACTATGCCCAGCCAGGCACTCAGTTATGTTTAGATGTGCTATAGAACTTCAGAAGAGACAGTGTGGAGGAGATAAGACACTGGTGGACCTTGAAGAGTAGGCTGGGTTTCCACAAGGAAGGAAGCAGGGTTTGAAAGCCACGTTTTCAAGCAAAGCATAGATGCAAGGCAGGGAAGTGTACGAATGTTCAGGGAATAGTAACAGGGCCACAAATATAGGCTTTATTTTGTTTTTAGCAGTGTCACAAATTTCTTCTAAGTCAGTAACTGTTGAAGGTTATTATGGACTAGATAAACCGACAAAAGCAAAGTGGCAAGCTGTGTAATTCTATAGCATCTGTGTGTTATTCTCCTCAGCTGTAGGTTGCACCACCGAAATCACAGGGCAAGGTCCTTACCTCTAGGCATTTTGAAAATCTCAGTCACTTATTTCTGTTTTTAGAAAATTTTATTTATTATTTTTATTGTACATGTATGAGTGTATTGCCTGCATGTAAGTGCACCAGTGTTGTACCCACAGAGGTCAGAAGAGGGCATCAGATCCCCTGGAACTGGAGTTAGGGATAGTTGTTAGCTGCCACGTGGGTGCGGAAATTTGAACCCGGATCCTCTGCAAGAGCAGCCAATGCTCTTAATCGTGGGGCTGTCTCTCTAGCCCCAGGTCACTTATTTCTTAATACCAACCTCTTACTAATTTCTCTCCAGCAGGCCGAAAGTCTTTCATCATATCCCATCTGGATTAGTCTCTGCACACCCTGAGCCCGGTGTGTTGTTTCTTTGGCAACTTTAATGCCAACCCCTATGCCCTATTCCATAGATCCAAGAGCTTATTCCATAGGCATTCAGTTTTTAGACATCAAATTCCATATTAGCTGGCCATGTTTCTTTGTAAAATAAGCTTTTCCATCTTGCAATGAGAAATAAATCCCAAGCGGCCACGGAGGAGGGAGGATCTCTGTGACTGGATGAATTTCTGTCTTGCCCTTCCTGGCTGTGACCCAGTGCGTCTCTCCCACTACTGAGTCCATGTCGGCTCCCACCCAGTTCACTACCCAGTTGCTCCCTGCACGTCTCCCACAATTTGCACCTTTGCCTAACAAATCCATTTCTAAATTTTGTCCAACATTTTTTTATCCTTCCCACAGTTAGTCTGAGCCTTACCTGAGTGAAAAATGATGTGGGTTCATTTGAAGCAAGTAAAATGGCATTAATAGTTCTGCTCTTGTGCCTGTGATTATCAGCAAACTGCAGTCATTTTCAGGCTTTTTGATCTAAGAACAACTTATTCTCTAAAAACTTTGAAAATCCCAGGAACTTTAAACCTGTTGAGATTTATAGTACTACACATTAAAACGGGCATTTCTAAATTACTAGACTATAACAGCTCACCTTTCTTTTTCATTAAGTTTTATTTTATTTAAAAAATATTTATTCTTTTGGGGGCTGGAGAGATGGCTCAGCGGTTAAGAACACTGGTTGTTCTTGCAGAAGCCCTGGGTTTGAATCACAGCACCCATGTGGTGGCTACAAACCGTCCTTAACTCCAGTTCCAGGGGAATTCGAAGACCTCTTCTGACCTCTGCAGCATTGCACAACACGGGTGTACTTACCTACCTGCAGGCAATACACGCAAATTTATTATTTTTATTTTATGTGTATGTGTATATTGCCTACATGTGTGTAAGTGTATCCACATTGTGCAATTTCACTAATTTTAAAGTTAGCATACAAAATGTAGGCTTCATGCAGCATTTCATACATCCATGTGGTTAGACGTTATTGTTCACACCACTTTCATCCACTGCCCCCATGCCTCTTGCCCTTCTTCCCCTAAATAGTCTCTATCTGCTTTTAAGTCACATATTCCGTTACCTCCACTTCTCACCCCATCCCATTCCCTTAAGATCTTTTCCTCCCCTTTCATAGTCTCCTTTTTACGTTCATGTTCTGTGTCACACACACATACACACAAGCACATAGATACATATTTATAAATTTAAGTCCAGGTTCTACATAGGAGAGAAACTGTGCAGTATTTGTCTTTCTGAGTCTAGCTTATTAGTATAATGATTGTCATTTCTATCCATTTTTCTGAAAATAACATTATTTCATTTTTCTTTATGGCTAAATAAAATTCCCTTGTGTATATGTAACACATATTCTTTATCTATTCATCTTTTGATGGACATCTAGGCTCGAACCATTTCTGAGCTATTATAAATAGTCCAACAATAAGCATGAATGTGCGAACATGTCTGTGGGATGCTGACAGACTTCTTTGGGTAGGTACCCAGGTATAGCTGAAGTGCCAGTGGGATACTGACAGGCCTCTTTGGGAAGGTACCCAGGTAGCTGGAGTGCCTATTAGCTCTACTTTTCATTTTTTGAGGAACCTCCATACAGATTTCCACAGTAATTGTGCAAGTTTACATGTCAGTCGATAGGCTATATATAAGGTTTCCCCTTTTTCCACATCTTCACTAGATTTTGTTGACATTTTTCTTCATGATAGACATTCTGGTTGGTGAGACAGAATCTAAAAATATTTTTTTCTTTATTTAAACTAAAGAATATTTATAATTATTTTTGACAATTTCATACGTGTATACAATGTATCTTGTTCATATCTTCCCCAAACTTTCCCTCCCACTCCCCAAACTGCCCTTATGTGTCCTCTTCCCATCTTCATGTCCTCTTCTTTCTTTTAATGACCCAAAGAATTCAGTTAGTGCTGCTCACATGGACACGGGCGTGGGGCCTCCGACAGAGCACGGGCAACTCCCAGTAGTCACCCCTGAAAAGAAATGACTCCCTTCCTCCAGAAGCCATCAACTCTCTGTATCTCCTCTGCTAGGACTGGAACCTTCTGAGCCCCTCCCCCATCCATGATAGAATGTTAACTGGCTTGATCCTGTGCAGGTCTTATGAAGGTAACCATGGCTGCTCTGAGTTCATGAGTGGAACAACCATGTTCAGAAGACAGCATTTCTCAGCACTCTTACCCTCCTCAGGCTCTTGCATCTTTCTGCCCCCTTTCATGGTGTCTCCTGAGCCTTGGGGGGGGTTATAAAGATGTCCATTTAGGGCCCAGTACTCAGCAGTCTTTTGCTCTCAGCACATTGACCAGTTTTGAGTCTCTGCATTTACTGCTGCCCACTGCAAAAAGAAGCTTCTTTGGCCAATCTTGATAGCAGCACTAATCCATGGGTATAAACATAAATATTCGGAAGGCAGTGGAAATATATATATATATATATAT